TAACAGTGTCATATTTGAGAACTTCCTGACTTCTTTTCAAAAGAAGTTTCAGATATATAAGAGAACAGCCCCTACAACCTGATCTCACTCCAAATTCATTTCATGTATCAGCAAAAAGATTCTTTAAAATTAAATACGTGCAGAAAGAAAAAAAAAAAACACGATAGCAGACTGGCACTCTGCAAAGTAGTGGGGATGGGAGGTTAGAGACACAGGCAACCCTATAAATTTAAAAGTTTGTGGCTAAGTTTTCTGTTTTTCAACTTAATTAGTGGTCACCATAATGACCATAATGATGTATTTGTCTAAAATACATATTACCTATCAAACAAGGTACAAAATCCAGGATAGGATCTCAATTATTTTTTTAATATATATATTCTATAATAGGAAAAAAGGACCCCTTGTCTCTGGGTGGTAGATTAATGGATGATTGCTTATCTTCTGTACCTCCTAAATTTTCTAAAATGAGCACATATTACTTTTATAATTAGGTTAAAATTATAATGCAAGTGTTTTACATCAATATAATCAAGTGAACTACAAAGGGGTAACCCAGGAAGCCTTTAAATAAAGGGTATAATCTTTCAATACATTCGACCAAAGCAAAGAAATCCCAGGCGACAGTGAAAGTAAACATTAAAAAACAACAACAAAAAAAAAAAAAACAGAAAGAGAGAAGAAAAGCTTTCTCCCCAGGCTTCTCTCCTATGAACAGGAGCTTTCAAACAAAACCACAACCCTATGGGATAACACAAAAGGAAGGTTCAGGGGAGCCACCTTCACACACTCAGCACAAATGCAGCCTGGGGGCCTTTCAGCTCGGCCTAGCCGCCCAAGACACAGCTCCATCAAAGGCCAGCTGTCTGGGGCAGGTACCGGAGACAAGTCAGTGTTCAGGAGGCGATCGCTGATGGACAGAAAGCTGTGTGGAAAGCGCAGGCGTGGCGCTCCATCCTGAGATCAGGAGCAGGTCACGCCCACAGAGGGTGTCTCTCCTGCAGACGGGTTTCTACAGGTCAGCGGCTAAAAGAGACCAAGCTTCCCCCTACCCAAGACACCCAGCCTCACCGTCTCACACTTCGGGGCAGCAACTCCAGGCCAAGGGGAGTGTTCTGTCTGGGGTGTGATGAGCTTAAACCTGACCCATGACTTGAGAGATCTCAAAGACCAGGAGGATAGAGAAGTGTCCAGACCTTGTCTCCAGTGTCCCACACCCCCCCTCAAGAGAGCCAGACTTAGTGATGAGGCATTCTTGGCAAGGTTTGATACAACTTCCCAAAAATTGGAGAAGCGGGTCTCCTAGAATCTAGCCACTTCATTCATTCATCCAGCAAATACTTTATTGAGAAACTACCATGGGCTGGGCACTGTGCCGGACACTGGGATTAGAACAGGGCCTAAAACCCAGACCCTGCCCTAAGACTGTTAACTTAGAGTGTCAAAGACCTAAAGAAAACTGCCTGTACTGACAAGGAGCCCACTTCTGCTGGACCCAACACCAAATTAAAGATCAATGACTCAAGTTGCTGTATAAGAAAAGTACAAAAGACAATGAGCCCCAGATTAGAATCAGAGGAACAGCCAGCCAGCCCCTCGCCAGCTTGTCTCTGTTTATTCTTTCCCTTCCTCCTCACACACTCCAGGTATTCTCTGGCCATCAATGAAGCCAAGGATCCATTTCTTTTTGGAATACTACATTTCTATTTCAGAGAGGAATAGAAATAGCCTCTCTGCCAGAGGGCTCCTAATTTTTAGCAACACAATCTGTGCCATGCTGTGGTCCCTTCTGCCTCTCCCAGGGTGATCTGGAGAAATGGAAACTGCAGTGCCAGGCTAAAAGATCAGCTGTCACAACCCGAAATCCTTCAGAGAAGCAAAGAGCAGCTAACTTTTAAGGAAATTCCAAGCAGGAGGAAAAAGAGATAGCATCGGTTGTCATCAAGAGCCTAGTTTAATAAAATGTGTGTGTGGAGGGGAGGTGGGGGGTATAAATGTTTAATATTAATTTCAAAGTATATTTTTATGTCCTATATCATAATAAACTACTGGCATGGAGTTTTCATGGAACAGTGAAACAATTATATATAATTCAAAGTAAGGAAGACCTTTCAGTTGAATGCAGACCAATACAGTTCTACATTCAATAGAACATATTGAAAATAGTCTTTGCTATAGACTGGTGGAAAATAACAGACACGCATACTCATACAAGCAAATAATCCACAAACGCCATTTGGGGGTTGGAAGTGGGACGAGGAAGGGAAGACAAGGTTGACAGCAGAGGGTCAAGGGTGGAAAATCCTTATCTAGGAAGCCTTGGCAAAGCTTCTGTCCCTGGTACCGAAAAGCCAGACTGAAAGCAGCTAACAGCACTTTCAAGCCAACTTAATATTCCAACTAGGGCTGGAAATTTTCACAAAGTGTCAGTTACAAGTTGGAAATTTCTTCCTGGTATCCCTGGCTGGAAAGTTATTTCCTAAATCTCACACAGGGTAAGAGAAACACAGGATGCTTGAAAATCATTGGCAGCAATAGTCTTACTAGTTAGTATCTCCCGGGACAACTAACAGGTACAGAGAAGTTACAGCACATTCCTGCTGGAGACTAATACACCTCACTGTTCCAGGCATTTCCGCAGAGGACTACCTGGCACGTTCGGTCCAGGCAAAACTTAAGTGGCCTAAACACATCTGTAGTGTCTGGACCAAATCATTCAGCTCTTTGTGTGAGCTGTTGGGCCCCAGTGTATCTGCACACCACCCAGTCCCCCAGCCCTCCGGGCGGAGCCTGGCCCAGGACACAGCAGTCTGTCTGGTCCTGCCCATTGTAACCACGGCCTGGCTGCCGGCAGGCAAGCCAGGTCCATTTTTAAATTCCCTAAGAAGTTTCCCAACCACTGGTTTGGGTGAGGAGGCAAACACCACTGCAGCTTGCTGACGTGAAACTAAAAATACCCAACTGCAAACAAAAGCCACCCTTTACCAGCGGCTCCGCCGTCCTGAGGCTCCATGTGGAAGTGTCAGGCCACACCAGACTGAGACCTTACTCTTGGCCAAGGGGCTGCCTTAACAACTCCTCCAGGCCCAGCCAGGCAGAGGGGCCGTTCTGTCCGAGCTGTCAAGGAATCCCAAAGTTTGATGGAAAGAACAGCTTTGGTCCTGTGACACCCCCCAGTGCAGGCTAGATGAGTTCGGTGCTGCCTCTGGGTCAGATACGCACTGAAAGCAGAACATAACCCTATAGCCCTGGAAGGAAATGGGCTTCCAGCTCCCTCCTTGCAATTATAAAAGCAAATTATTGCCATGACTATACTGAGAAAGGCAGCTGGGAGGCGTGATTGGTAGATTTGAGAGCCCATGTGGTCCAGTGGGGGTCTGCTGGGGGCCAGGGCATGGGAGATCACGACTCCACGGCGCGATGCCCGTTTCCCCAGGAGCTTCTCGGGAAGGTTTTACCTGTTGGGCTTCGGAGTGGAGCTGCGATCCCGGGGCCACCACGCTCCAGGCCGCCCGTCCCTCCTAAACTTTCCTTCCCGCCCCTCGGAAGGGGCAGGCTCGTCCCTCTCCGAGTCCAGATTTCAGGTGTGGAGCTTGTCTAAGCCACCCAGGACTGCGGGGAGGCGCGGGGTGGGGTGGGGGCGGGTTTCCTTCCCACACGGCCCGGCGGGCGCCGGGGGATTCCGGATGCTCAGAACCCAGGAGTGAGGGGCGGGGGGGGGGGGGGGGGGGATGCAACTGACGGTCAGCCCAAAACCGACCAAAGTTTCCTCCTAAAGTAAAGCTGCGCGATCACGGGGCTCTGAGTACCCCCCAGCACAGGGTCGCGAGCCGGACTGTGAGGGAGGGAGCAGGCCCCGTGGCACCAGCCGCAAGGTCAAGGCGGAGCCGAACCCCGGGGGCAAGCAGCCGGCGCTGGGACCCAACCCCAGCTGGTGGCGGGGGAAAATGTCGGGCACCCCCAATCTCTCCCTCCACCTGCTCGACGCGGCGCCGAAACCCGCACACATGGGAGGCTAGCCTCAGGCTCCCAAGCTCGCGGCCAGACCCGCAACCTCGCCCGGCGCTCACCCTTCGTCCCCGGCCCGCAAGCCCCCCCGGAAGAGGCATTTCTCTGGGGAGAGGGGTGACTGGCTCCCGGAGCCTCTTTCATCCTCGGACCTCGGCAGAAGCGGGGAGGGAGTTTCGTTCTCTTCAAACTGATCCTCCAACCCCAGAAGCTCCACACGACGTCTACCTTGGTCTGCTACCTCGTAGACAGACAAGAGACACAAAGAAAAAAAAAAAAAAATCTACCGCTCCTCTGGTCCCATCCTCCAGCCTGGAGTTGGGAGGAAGAAGCGGAAGGAGTATATCTTTTCTCCCCATCCCGACTCGGGGATCCGGGCAGACCCGGTCAGCAAGGAACCCCGAGGTGGCCCAGAGAGAAGAGGTAAGGTTGGAAGAGTCAGAAACCAGCCACGGTGAGCGGGGGAGCGAGAGCACGAGAAAGAAGAAAATATCCAACAAAACCACGCTAACGCGCCCCCTACCTGGGTGCAACATACTTTGGAAATAGAAGATGACCAGGATAAAGGATCCCAAGCAAGTGGCCAGCACCATCCGGCAAATTCTGTTCATCCTCATCACTTCCAGCAGCGCCGGCTTCATGGCTTTGTCCTAGCTGCGGGAACCCGGGTGTCCGGGAGGCGCTCCCGGAGCGCAGGAGCGGGGACCCCGCGGCGCGGAGCGGAGCCCGGGAGACGCAGGACAGGGCTGGGCAAGGGTCGCTGGGAGGATAGGGGTTGGCTTCGCGGCCGCTCTCGGAGCCCCCAGCCCCGGGCAGGGGTGTGGAAGGCGCCGGAGTTGCTCTGGAAGTGCGGAGATGCGTGGACCCGCCGGCTGCGCGCTCTTGCTCCTCCCGCGGCTCCTCCTCGCCTCTCCGCCGCCGCCGCCGCCTCCGCTCCCGCCGGCGGCCGCCGCTGCCTCCTCGCGGGCCGGGCGACTGGGGTGCGAGCGGTGATGCTGATGGTGGTGCCGCCGCCGCTGCCGCTGCGCTGGCCGCTGTGGCTGTCGGACCGGCCCCCTCTCTCCTCTCCAAAGGCTACTTCATTGCGCTCCAATGATCTATATATTCCGGGGCTGGGTTTTACCAAACGTAACTCGCAGCCCCCGGCGAGGGGAGGGCGCCTGCGGAGAGCCGGGCGGAGGGCGGGGCCGGAGCGCCGGGGCGGAGCGTCTCGCTCCCCGCGCCCCTACCCGGGATTTGGTCGCGTCCAGCTGTTTCCCGGGGAGTGCGCGCCGCGCTCCGCAGGGTCCCAAAGGCCCTCAGTCCCCGGCCCGGCCGGCCGCCGTCTGGAGCTTGTGTGTCAGCGTTTCCATGACAAAACCCGGAGGAAAAACACACGAATAAAATCGCCTCGGTGCCGCCACCCCCTCCTGCCGGCGAGTGAAGAGGGAAGTGGCGGGATGCGGGTCGGGCACGCGAAGCGCGTAGGGAGCCGGCGGTTTGTGCTGATTTCAAAGCCCTGGGCAGGGTAGCCGGCAAGTTGTCCCAAGCCCCCTGGGAGCTAGTGCTCTTTACCCGAGTCTCGGAATAGGCAGGTTTCGTTTTTCTTTTTCCGTTTTTTCCCCTTTCCAATGGCAGCCCAGCGCGAGCGACGTTTTGGAAAGGGGTTAAAGACGTCTGACTTGAGGTCAAGGTTAGGAAAACTGCATAACTCGAAGGGGTCGGGCGACAGCTAAGTTTTCCCGGGGGTTTATGCAGTCTCTCTTTCTGTCTGTGTGTGTGTCTCAGTCACACACACACACACACACACACACACACACACATCCCCAATCAGGGCAAAGGAGGTTTTGTGGATTTTCGAAGTCCGATTTTCCAAAGAACAGAGCTCTCTCTACATCCTCAAAGTGCGAGACTTAGCGGGGTGGATGGGAGAGGATGCCCCCACGGAGTCACTCCCAGCACAACTAACTACTGGGGAAAAAACCAGCACGCCTTGGCACTGGCAGGTAAATGGAAAGATGGCGTTGCTTTCTTGTGTTGTGTGACGTGGTTTTAAAATTCCAATTCCGTGCGTTTAGGTTGTTTAGCAGTCAAGGTGGATGCAGGTAAACAGTGCAGGGATCACTGTGTCACCTGCCTAGTACTAGCTGGAGAAAATCGGTTACTGTAGTGGCCCATCTGACTACCTAGAATGGAAGATCTTGTTTTGCCCTTTGGGAATTCAGTAAGCAAAGAGAGAAGACTGTTATAGCCTTTTATTTTCCTTACAAATTTACAGAATGTTTTTAAAAGTTAAAGGATTATTTAAATTCTAACAATAACATATACCAGGAAAAAAGTTATTGTAAAGACTAAGTTTTGCACACATTATCAAATCTTTAGGTTTCCCTGGTGGCTCAGTAGGTAAAGAATTTGCCTTTGATCCCTGGCTCTGGAAGATCCCCTGGAAAAGAGAATGGTTACCCACTCTGGTATTCTTGCCTGGAGAATCCCATAGACAGAGGAGCCTGGCAGGCTACAGTCAATGGGGTGGCAAAGAGTCGGACACAACTAACACTTTCACTTTTTTCATCAAAGCTTTACTACTATGAATGCAATTAATAACAAAATAAGATAATGGGTCTTTGACTGCCTCTCATGTAGCAAGCATTTGATACTTATTGAATCTGAATGTAATGGGCCTTATCCTTCTCTCAATATATCAGAGACACAACATGCAAAGATACATGCAGCCAAAACCACCTCAACAACCTTCCCGGCAAAGTCTTCCTCCAGCAGTTGCAAAGCAGAGAAACTAACAAAGTCAGCAGCCTTGCCTTTGATTACAAGAAGACAATCAATTACAGCACAATATTTATGTAGCCAGTTTGTACTGTATTAATTTGTGCTCACTTGTAAATGAGCTGCATAATAAAGGCAGTCAAGCTGAACAAGATCCAGTACCTTCCCCAGTGATTTCCACCCCCAGAAGCCCAGGGATGGGAAATGACTTACCCACCCACCCGCCCATCCTTGACCAGGGCAGGGAATCCCTGCAGTGAGCATGACTAGATGGGCATTTGCAGAGCTTGGTCTGGAACAGCAGGCTCTCATTTAAATCCTACTTTTACAGAGCAGGCTGGGCTTTGCTTCCAGGTTACCCAATTGGTCTCTCATCTCCCAGGGCAGAGACCACACTGTACCAGTACAAGAGCCTGGACACGCATAAGGCTGTCTGGGAAGTCGCAGGGAGAGGTCAGAAGCGGAATCCCTGATGGGTCCGGGGGGGTTGAGTTATCCCATGTGGTGAGGAAGAATGAGGAACCATGTCCTGAATCCATTTCTGCATTCTCACAGACCCAAACATGGGCTTCCCAGGTGGCACGGCGGTAAAGAATCTGCCTGTGAAGACAGAGGAGATGCAGGAGACGCAGGTTCGATCCCTAGGTAGAAGAGATCCCCTAGAGGAGAAAATGGCAACCCACTCCAATATTCTTGCCTGGAGAATCTCATGGACAGAGGAGCCTGGTGGGCTATAGTCCATGGGATCGCAAAGAGTCAGACACAACTGAGCTGAGCATACAGGCAAGAATACACAGCATACAGTGAAGAATAAGGTTCTGACAGGTGACACTACCACCTCTTCCAAGAAGCCTTTCCTGATTTCTCACCTGGAATAGCCTCTTTCCCCTTCTATGTTCTGAGCAGTAGGTCCAAACCCCTCTTGGGTCACTGTACCTACTAAGCTGAGTTTTATTCATCTCAGTTTCTCTCCAGTGCTCAGCAGAGCAACTGGCCTGGTAGGTACAAATAAGTCTGAGATGGAGAAGTGATACTTTCTTGGACTAGGAAGTTAAATTAGATCCCCTCTAAAGTCTGTGGTCATGGTCAGTGGTAATGGTCTGCAATTCTGTTGTTCTGTGCATGTTAGAGGTGAGAGAGAAGTTCTAATTTCTTGTCTTTTCATCACACTGCAATAAACTTCCCAACCACAAGTACAGTCATTGCTTTCTTTCCATCCCTCTCCTTACAAAGCTTTGTTGTATCTTTTATGCATGCTACATGATAAATATTGACCAGATAAAGGAAAATGTTGACTGATAAAACAGAGGAGAAAGGAGGTTTGATATTCTGTTTGTCTTTTAATTACTGGTTTACTTATTCTGTTTTTGTCTGTGGTGGGTCTCTGTTGCTGCTCAGACTTTTCTCTAGTTGCGACAAGCAGGGGCTGCTCTCTAGTTGTGGTGCACAGGCTTCTCATCGCCTTGGCTTCTCTTGTTGAGGAGCATAGGCGCTAGGGCCCTTGGGCTTCAGGAGTTGTGGCTCTGGGCTTATTTGCCCCATGGCATGTGGAATCTTCCCAGACCAGGGATCAAACCCATGTTTTCCTTCATTGGCAGGCAGATTCCAATCTACTATACCACCAGGGAAGCCCTGATATTTTGAATTTTGCAGAGAGCTCAATGGAAGGCTGCCTCTGCAATCAAGTTTTTTGTTTTCCCACTGTAGCCTTCAGAACAGGCAAGCTTATGCTACAGTAACAAATGAGCCCTAACTTCACTGGCTCAGAACAACTAGGGCTTAGGTCTTAACTCCACCACATGTCTGCTGTGGGTCACAGACCAAACATGGGCTTCCCAGGTGGCACGGTGGTGAAGGGGTCGCAAAGAGTCGGACACAGCCGAGCACACAGGCACACAGGCCCAAACATAGAGTGAAGAGTAAGTTCTGACAGGTGACACTACCACCTCTTCCAGGAAGCCTTCCCCGATTTCTCACCTGGAATCAGGTGAAAGGGGCTGAACTCATGGAATACCACATACAGGATGAAGCCGAAGTAGCCCTACCTAGAACCTGGCAGTGCCCAAGAAAAGAGGATCTCTTGAAGTTCCAGCCCCCACAAGTCAGTGATTCCCACCCAGAAGAAGCACATGTCACTTCTACTCACCATTTATCAGCCAGAACTACTCACGCACTGCTCCCCATCCCACCCAGACTAGGAAGTCAGAGAGCCCAAAGCATTTGGGAAATAGTCCTCCTAGCTGCAGTCCCCCTCTTCAGACCTCATTTATTCCCTTTCACCCCAAGAGCTTCTGCCCATCAGCACCGCCTCAGGGTGAGGCCTGGCTAAGCTTGGTTGATTGAGGCATGACTCTTACTCCCCAGGTGAAAGGGAAAGGGAAGTCGTTCAGTCATGTCCAACTCTTTGTGACCCCCATGGGCTGTAGCCTACCAGGCTCCCCTGTCCATGGAATTTTCCAGGCTAAAGTACTGGAGTGGGTTGCCATTTCCTTCTCCAGGGGACCTTCCCGACCCAGGGATCGAACCTGGGTCTCCCCGCATTGCAGGCAGATGCTTTCCCATCTGAGCCACCAGGGAAACCCACTCTCCAGGTAAAACAACACACAAATGAGACTGGGGTCTGTCTATTTCAAAACCTGGCATGGCCCCTAGAAACTGTTGAGGAGAAAGGTCTCTGTGTGTGGATGATCTTGGGAAATTCAGAGGCGAGGAAGGGATGGATACAAAATCAGAATTCTGACTTGTGTGTGCCATCAGCAGTGAACGCAGACACTTGCCAAGCCCACCAGTACCTGCAGGCTGAACTCTATCCCGTTTCTGTAGGTGACACCTTCAATGTACCGTCTTGTTCAGATCTGGCACAACTGGCTGCCCGTTTCTGGAGAGAGACCTGGCCCCAGGGCACTGGAAGACAGAGAGTTCTTTTGCATCCTTGAGGAAGGGGGGCATGTCTTAGGCGGACCTCAGGCAGAGGCCCCAGACGCGCCCCTCCCAGGAGGGGCTTTGCCTTTCTGCATCTCTCTGGCACCTCCAGCACAAAGTCTCTCAGTTAACCAGGGCACAGTAAATATTTGTGGAGTTGAATAAGAAACCATGCCCACAGCATGCGGAGGCCCGAGGGTACAACCCTCCTCCAGGTAGGTAAACCACAAGTACACAAGTGGGGCACTCATGACATGCTCTGAGCGAGGCTCTCCTTCCCTGGCCTTTCAGAACAAGGTGGGGAGGAAAGAAAGGACAGAAGAAGAAGTAGAGAAGGGGGGAAGTAGAGGAAGAAGAGAAGAAAGAGGCGCTATTATTATTTTGCTTTCTGATGCTGCCTCTGCCCTACCTCCCAGTTTAGGCCCAGGAGACTCCTCTCCCTCCCTTACTGAGGAGAGAGGCCTGTCAGACCATCGGACCCTCGGACACTACCCCAAGCAATGTTGTACAATCAAAGGATGCCACACCAGGATATAAATCCCCATAGGCATGGTGCAGTCCTCAAGACATTAATAATAGGATTCCAAGGGTGCTGTAGAAGTGAGGGCAGAAAAGCATGACTGTGTTCATCTTTCTCTCCTGAATCATCCCATCACTGTATCCTTCCGTGAGTTAACAGTGGCCAAAAACAGTAGCTACCTCCTCGGTCCTCAGATAAACATGAGGTTACACTACTGAAAAATCTCGTGGGGCACTTATTTAATGTGTCTTTTTCCAGTGGTCTCTGAGCTCTGGGAACCGCTGTGACCATGTCCGTATCAAACCTAAT